TAAATCCTACGTCCTATGCTGAACGCCTGAAGAACCATTTTCGATCCATTAGACCGACATCACCTCGGCTAAGCACGCGCGCGCAGCATATGCATCCTGACTTGCACACTTGTCCATTCGTCTTTATCCGAATCGATGCTGTTCAAAGACCCTTGACACCGCCTTATGAAGCTCAGTTCAAGGTTTTAACGCGGAAATCGAAGTACTTCTTTCTGGATAATAATGGATCCAAGAAATCCGTGAGCATTGATCGTCTTAACCCCGCATACGTTAATGCAACGTTGGATAGTTTAGAATCAACCACGACCACTTACAACACTCCTGTGCCTGGGCCGTTGTTCACTGACAAACTCATGATTGAATCCCAAACCTCGAAATCCCTGCGCCCTCCGACCTCCAGCATCTCTACACACATAGGTTCTGATCGTGTTGTTGCACTTCCACCCAAGATTGCTCAATAAGTTTCATAGGTACTTTTCGAGCATTCTTCCCAGCGCACGCTCTAGGGGGAGTACTGTAGCAATTGTAAATACTTTGCTTATTTGTATCTTTACGCTTGTACACTCCGCTGCAGTTTATGTACATTTTTCTTTTAATTAACTACATATACATACAACAACTGGCTTAAGCTCGACTTGACGTCGTTCTACCTTGGTTGCCGCTGGTTTGTTGATGTGATTGTGTGCTCTGCTGTCTGACTGATCCATCGCCCGGATATACATGCTCCTACCTCTGCATAACTGGCGGTTTTACCATCGTCAGACACTGAAGCGTATCAGGATCTCATTATGTAAAGTGAACTTATAACTAACGCTATTCACGTTACTGGTTCCCTACTATTTCACCCAGCGAAAGCTAGTTAGGGATGCAAAGCAACGCATGTTCCGGTAGAGTAGGAGGTTGGTTTCGGCGGTCGAATTCAGGAAGATGTGTATATAAATAAAAGTGATCATCAAGCGACAGACGTCTTACTTAATTTCCCTGAGTACAGATTAAAATATAAATTGGTAATATTTTACACACAGGGATATCCGTAGTTCACTACAAGGTTTTCCATCCCATTTTGCCTAGCTGGTGTTGAAGATATTGCTGCAGACAATGAACATGGTAACTGTTTGCATTTTTCGTATCAAAGTACTTTCAATTTTAGGTGTTATTATCTGTCCATATAAGCACAACGCTTTAGATCAACGTTAACAGGATCCGTATCCATCCTAATGGGCTTGCGTCTGGTTCTCTTGAAGATGCACGACGGAGAAATTACCATTCGGTTTGTACTACGTAGCGTGTTGAACTATTACTATCAGAAGAAAGTGGCGATAGCAAGATCGCCGAAACCAAACGATGAAATACAAGTATTCCTGCTCGGAAATTTCAGAATCGGAAATGAAACTGAATTGTAGCTCAATTTCCACGAAATACTTCCAATGAACGCAGAAAGTTAACACAAAGTGATCTTGTCAACACAGCCAAAAATGACCGACCGGAGGACGCTATCCGCAGTACGGCGCCCGCTGCGAACGTATAGACACCCTGGTTATTATGTGACAGCAGCCAAAGCTTAGACGATTCTCTCTCATACGACACCATGCTGCTACGTTCAAGGTGGTCTTTAGTGTAATCAACAGACACCGCAAACTCCGAATTCCTGGCAATTATCTTTTGCTAAATCTTAAATACAACGTCTCAAGCAATCCACTTTACCCGTCCTTAGATGTGAAGTTCTCTAACCGACTTTCTAGTTTTGCAATCCCACGTATCGCTTTAACAAAACGGTGCGCTACCGTCAACACACGGTTGACGAGGTGGCAAAATACACCTCATCGATTCATCCATCAAGAAGCAACCCAAGAATATTTAGATTCTGTTGGTGCAGAGATCGCTGTATAACTGCGTGCTGGGGACATCCATGTAAACACATTGTCTGGGCAGTGAGCATTAAGGCATTGGGTGGAGCAAATTGCACTGAGATAACCGTGGTTCTACATTGGTAAATATAAAGCAAAAAGGAAACGATAATATCTGAAGAGGTAAAATGTTCTTGTGGAAATGCAGAAATAGTCGTTTACTCGACATGGTCAATTACGATGGAAGGTTCATTCATAACTGTGCTGCTGTTCTGCAACCACTAACTGATTTACTTAAAGGTAAACCGAGAAAGCTCACGTTTGCACCGGGCCGAAACAGCGTTTCTTATTATCAAGCAGAAGCTAAGCCAGATTATTGCCCTAAGCTACTTGAAAATGTATGAGAAGGCTACTCTAATTCTAAAACCGATGCCTCACAATCCGCTGTGACTGATCGGCAGTGAGATCTAGCCATTGTCTTACTTTTCTTGGAAGTTACAGCTAGCACAGACCAGATACTTTCGGTCGCGAACTCGCAATCTAATTGGTCGGCAAAAAGTTTCGTCATGTCCTTGAATGACAAGGTTTTGTAATTTGGCAGACCACGAACCTCTCGTCCACGCCTTTCGCTCTGCTTCCGACCGCTGTTCCCCGAGGGAAACGCGGCACTTGGATCACCTCTCACAATCCTGTCCAGGCATTCGCTATATCGATGATCCGAACAATGTTTTTGCTGATGCACTGCCTCGTGCTCAGGTTCACCAGCTTTCGCCTTCACTCATTAATCATGAAAGGTACGTTGCCCAGACGAAGGATCCGGAAGTTGCACAGCTTCGGTCGGGCGCCTCGCTGAAATTCTTGCAATTGCCTGCAAGGATGTACTGCGAATTTTCCATCGGTAAGCCAAGACCGTTCGTTCCCCAGTCCTTCTGGTGAACCGGGATTGGCCATTTACACGGACTATCGCATCCGAGCATTCCATCCACGATGAAGTTAATCACCGATCGTTAGATCTGGCCTATTGTGCGTGCGGACATCCGGAAATGGACTAAGCATTGCTTCAGCTGTCAGAGGAGCAAAGTTCCTCGACACACCATCACTGCCTCCGGAAACTTCTCATTTCCTGAAGCACGGTTTAGACATGTTCGCCGAGACTTAGTTGGACCTCCTCCTCCATTGAACGGTTTCACCATTATTCGACGTATGTGGATCGTTTTACGCGTTGGCCACACGCGACTCCTTTACGTGACATCTTTACTGCAACTGTGGCTTATGCCCTTTCCAAATCCTGGATTTCACTTTTCGGCGTACAAGCCAAGATAATCACAGATGGAGGATCTGAATTTACTTCCACGCTGTTCCGTGACTTGAATCGCTTATTGGGTTGTACTCACATTCGGACAATCGCTTATCACCTTGCTGCAAAGGGCCTTGTGGAACAATTCCATCGATAGCTAAAAGCCGACACCACAGCCAGTTCATCGGGCACACGTTGATCTGAGCGCATTCCAGCCGTTATTCTTGGTATTCGTAATACCGTCAAAGAGGATATTGGATATTGCTCTGTCAAACTCGTCTGTTGCACGACTCTCAGACTACCAGATGCGATGATATTGGGTTCTCGAGTCACTGAAAAATTGGATCCTGATTCTTACGCTGAACGCCTTAAATAGCACTTTCGGACCATTCGAACTACTTCTCCTCGGATCATTGGTTAAGAACGAGTTTATCCGGATTAACACACTTCTCCGTTCGTTTTCACTCGCCTCGATGCATTTCGAAAGCCTTTAATACTTCCATATGAAGGCCTATCCAAGGTAATATGACGAAAATTCAAGTACTTCATCATGATGAGGAGTGGATCGAAGGAATCCACGAGTATCGACCGCCTTACACCCGCTTATGTTGAGCCTATAGTTGAACGTTCAAATTTACTGTGACTGATTCCGAGTTGTCGCCGCTTGTTAGTCAACCGACCGATGCTGACGCATCAGAACTTTCATGTGCTCGCTCAACGATTAATTCCAGACACACACGTTCAAACCGTTTTGTTTCTTTTCCGTCTAAACAAGTTGAATATGTTCCTTAAACTGCTTGATCGAGTTCATCCTTACCAGTTCACGCTCTACAGCTGGTTACCTAGTGGTTATTAATCGTGCAAATTCTTTCCTTCTGATAATCAATTTTAGCATGATACCACTCGTACATTTTGTTTGACTTGACAAAAAAGAGCACTAGAATGTACTTCTACGAAATCCGCACTCGCATGGCGCTAGTTATTGGCTGGCACTGTTTCTGCTTGTGTACGCAGCTT